CCATGCAATGAGTTGTTCTCTTTCCTGGCTGTCTACTTCCCCCAGCAGCTCGTCCTGAAGCAGGTCACCCTTCAGGTATTTCTGACTTTGGAACCATCTTGGTTCTCCTGGGGATCCTCGAGAGCACCTGCCATGTCTGAAACAGCCAGAGCATCCCCCCAAATGGCGACAGCTGCCTTGCTACACCCACCTCTGTGCAGACACCCACCTGCCAGCTCTGCGTCCTCAAACTCACCGCTGATCCAGGTGAGCAGCTCCTCAGTGTCCACGATACCATCCAACACATCTGAGCTGGTCACCACTGCTAGAAATGAGTCACTGGTTCAATTTTACTTACACAAAAACACATTTTGGAGAAGCTGAGCTCAAGCATTCTTGTTGGACATCTGAACTCTTACCCATCACGAGCAGAGGGTGAGAAATCTTACTCAGAATCCACAACGATGCTTCCATGCTGGTTGCATTCCATGCCACAGAACGGCCAAAAACTCCGTCAGCCAAGCACTGGCAGAAAAGAAGAGTACACATTTTTAGCATTTCATCACGAATTAAAAGTATAGACTCAGTTTACTACTAAAATTAAAAGGGAAAAAAACATCTCTATACACATATATGTTAGTCTCCAAGTTGCCAGGCATCAGTTTTCAATGGAGAAAAGCCACATTTGACATCTGCTTCTATAGCAGAGGCCATCTGGCTTTTAAAAGTTATTCTGTTGAGGATAAAGACGTGAACATAGACTAGAACCTCCTGTCGCTCTCATAATAGGAGCGACTTGGTGCCATCTCTTTGAAGAGGGACGATGGGGACTCTCCCAAGTCCCCTTGGCTCTGACAGATGTGGTGGCCACGTTCCTCAGAGCCCTGGGACCCCGAGATCCTCATTTTCCAATGCGGTGCTCTCTTCCAGTGACACACAGAGCAGAGCAAAGCCCACGATTTTGCTGCATGTGAAAGGTGTAGCTAAGTGGGAAGCCAGAGAGGAGACTTTTTGCTTCCAACGTGCTCTCCTTTAGATCCCTGGTGGGAATAGAAAGGGTTTTTGGGAGGTGCTGGGAGCAAGACACTGCAGCTGGGCGACTTGTAGGGAAAGGATAAAGAGAAGCAGAGAAACGGCTGCCCGCCCTCAGCGTTCTGACCTGAAATCCTCCCCAGGGTATGCATCCAGGAGAACTGTCCTGTTTTTTGAGAAGTTTCTCTTGTACAGAAAATCATTGGCTGTTGGACCACAGGGAAAGAGATAGAAGAAAATGCAAGAAAGGTCTTGTACCAGGTCAGGTGTAGATTATCCTGAGATTACAAGTAGAATAGGAGGGAATATCACAACTGTTTCCAAGAAGCTATTATCACATTGCCCACCCCCATTGCTCATTACTGTGACTTGTAGTGGACTTTCCAAGTCACAGTCTGAACCAATACATGAGCACGAGTGCCTGGTGCAGGAAGGAGACGAGGCTGCATTCCTCAGCTCCCCCCCTCCACATCCCTCCCTGCACTCTGTTTTGCCTCTGTTCGTTCTGCACCCCCTTGCCTGGTTCACAATTAAGTGACATGCCGTTCTGAAACAACTCTAAAGAAACGTGTTCCACATCACTCATCTTCCTCAGTGCCACACTGTGTAATCAATGACTATTAAGATGTTATAATTATGAAAGAAACAAGAGAGTTTGACGAAGCAGACTATGGTAACAAAAAGAGAACAAACAGAAGGCTTACCCCTACCCAGGGCTCACTCACAGAACCCCAGCAGGGCCAATCTCCAGAAGAGCTCCTTCCCTACTGGCAGCCAGCTCTTAAATACGTCCAGGAGGGCAGCACAGCTGAATTGCCTTCACTGTGCTCCTCTGGCTGATTCATGGCTCGCCTCAGGTGATCAATCAGAGGTTCAGGCTCTGAATTAGCAGTTCCCATACGCAGACCTAAACATTTCCTGAACACCTCCGGGGAATCTGACTGCAGTCCCTCCCTGGGCAGTGTGTCCAGGGCCCAACCACTCTATTGGAGGAGTTTTTCCTAACGTCCAGCCTGAAAGAACTCTTGTTGCTCTCAAGGTTCTTTCATTTCTTCACAGAGCTGTTTCAAAATCTTCATCTGGGAGGGAGCACGTGAACCTAATGAGATTCAGCCAGGCCAAGTGTAGGGTGTTGCACCTGGGTCAGGGCAACCCCAGATATCTGTGCAGGCTGGGAGAAGAACTCATGGAGGGTGGCCCTGCTGAGAAGGACTTCAGCGTCCTGGTGGACGAAAAACTTCACCTGAGCCCGCAGTGAGAGCTGGGCTTGTTCAGTCTGGAGAAGAGAATGCTCTGGGGAAACCTGATGTGGCCTTCCAGTAATTAAATGGGAACTTATAAGCAGGAGGGAAGGGTGGTGCTATAAAGACTATAAACTATAAAGACTAGAATGTCTTGAACCTCAACAAAATAATTTCAAAAGTCAGATGGACTCTGTCATAGAAGCTTGTTACATGAGAGCAAATCTGACTGCAGGAAAATCAAAACCCTTTCATGGTGACTTTGGTAAGTAACGTGCAGAAAACACAACAGGCATAATGTGTCCTGATTAAAAAACAAACAGAAAAGGACAGGTGCCTGTATCAGATGTCCATGGCTGCAGAGGATCTTCCAGAAGAAGGAGGCAGCAGAACCTTATGCTCACACTGCAGTACAGGAGCAGAAAACTACCGGGAAGCTCTGGGTTTCTCTTGGGAAGGCAAAACTGCACAGAGATGCACCAGCTGGGTTTGGCAGTGCCCTCCCACCCTCAGATTTCCTGCACACAGCTTCACGCCGCTCCCCTTCACCCTGTCCTACCTCAGAGACCCAAGGAGCACTGATTTGGTACAAAGCACAGCAGTGTCGCGTTAAAATGCAAGTTGTGTTTTCATTGTCAGGGGTATTACAGCCCAAAGCTTGGAGCACTGCCTCCAAAAACCGTGCCAGGATGGCGGCTTGGTGCTCCAAAGCTGCAGAGGTTCTACTCTGGACCAGTAGGAGTGCAGCAGCTCATGGAATGCTACAGGACAAATCAGGCCATGTGCTCTTTGTCGATGTCTAATTGTGGCTGTTTTTTATTGACTACAACCAAACTCGGGGTGCCGAGTGGGGCGGCACTCGGAACGCTGCCCTGCAACGCCGCGCACTGCAGCGCTGCCTGCTGATGCTCCTCCTCTCAGT